TGATCAGCCATAAATATATCAAAGTCGGTCTGTAATGCAATAACTTTTACTCCATCGTTGGGGGCATAAGCTCCAATATCGCACGTGTAATCGACCGTGTCTAACGTCAAGGGTTAATTCCTGAAAGCGGACAGGCACACAAATTTAACGCATACACTATGCGTGATTTATGCGTTGAACTCACCAAACACCGGTCACATCTCATATCATATCAGGAATGTATGCTTTGAAGCGTCCCCCAAAACACCAGGGGTCTAAAATGGATGATTATATTATAGATTACTGTAATGATGCATACAATGTAAAACAGATTAGCTTGCTGTAATTGTTTGTGACGGAGAAGTTCGATGCGAACGAACTCTTTTTTTTTTTAGATGCAGTGTTCAGTGTAGCTGATAACTTATCAAGTAATTTTATATCAACAAGGCCAAAAAAATAACGTGAGATCTAAATAAACATCACGTAATATGCATTGGTTGTCATATGAAGGAGCTGCAGGGGGTGGGGCTAGTAAAGATTGGGGAGGGGTTCCACAAAGCTTGAATATTTCATGAGGACAGAATTACTACTTCAGCAGAGACTCCATTGACTGTCTCCAAAACCCCAGTCAGAATAGAGTACTTTTCATTCAACCCCCCCCCCCCCCCCTCGCGGGTGACATAATCATTATTTTGTTGACGGAGGGGGGAGGGGCCATTCAAGCTATCAATTGACAAATAAATGTTTACGCGAGGTAGCAAACCGTGCACCTGCAGGGTATTTGGATGGACCCAAGGACGGTACCCAACTCATTCCCTTTAAACGCCTACACCATGTGGGATGTTCTGTATGATTGGGATTAGTGTTGAATTCTTACAATAGGTGTTTGTGACATCAGATCTAAAGCTAACTTTGATGTACTACGGTATAGTTAAACTTAAGTTCCGCTTTAAAAACTTCACGCTGTAAAATATTTGTAGAAGAGGAATTGTGGAAAGAGTGTTGCATTCTGACGCCACTTCATATCATTCAATGATGGTCAGTCTTTGCAAAAATGTTGAAAAGACGTAAATCTGGGACTGAGAAACAGTTCCAATTTTGTTAAAAAAATAGAACTTGAAAATTTACGACTCTCCATAGACCCTGTACACAACCAAAGAATTGGCGTCTATCGCTGACATTTAATCTTTTGCTTTATAGGTTGGGACCTTTAAACACGTATCCATAAACCACATCAATCCTCACCAACTTTTTATTTCAACTAACAAATAAAATCCAGGTTCCCTTTATTTATACTTGTTCCCAAGGAGGGCGCGTTTCTCTTTTTGATTCCACAGCAGGTAAACACAGTTTCTATGATCGATATAATAATACATCTTTGTTCAGCTTCTCCGAAATTTCTCCGAGTCAATATTTGTTTTCATTTTTCCCAAGATTCAAGCCTGTTGCGGTTTACAAGAGAAGGCTGCGGAAAACTGAAAACTATAGGAATATATTGCATAGATGTGAATCAATTATTGTTCATTTCTTTTCAAGGCCGGTGTTGCGGTTAGGTTTGTGGTTTGCAAATGTCAACGACAAGGCCACTCGATGTATACTTCCACTTTCCCGAAAGCAAGTTTTGCAGGTCAGAACGAACAACTATTTATAAGGAAAATTACCTGTCACTTGCTTGAAACAAGGCTACAGAAACAAGCAATGATAGGTAAGGTCTCGACATTTTTGGGGGGTCGGAATTCTGAAGAACTCCACCGAAATCAAAGCTTCGACAATACTTTGACCCTCACGAAAACTCGCGTTTGAACCGGATCGAACTGATTGACTCTGCAGATTAAAATGATTGGATATAACAATCGGAAACAGTTAGCGATTATCTGCGACTCCTTATACAATGTATCACAATTATGGTATCTGTATACACAAATATAGATTCATCCAAGTAAATAATTTCGACTCACGCCACCGACAACATAAACAGAATGGCCAGCTCTTCCCGATGGTGAATTACTAGTGATAATCTGATTAACTTTTAATTGCTTGGAAAATGTAGCACACATCTCCGGTCTCCGCACTGCGTCATAAAATTATTTATTTTCCCTTTCATGTCACGTGATTCTTATTTGTAAACAGGTGTTCAGATTGGTTTTGGTGTGGTCAATCGTATTTTTCTGAGTGGGATGAGTTGTTCAGCACACCCCCCCCCCCCAAAAGCAATGGTTTTCCTCATCGATAATCAATGGACAATCACATTATCTTCTATTTAAATTTCCTCGAAAATTCACAAAATAATTTTGAAGGGAATGCTCGCCGGCTTTCGCGGTCTACAGTGTTTGGTAGCTGGTGTATTAGCATTAACGTAATAAAAGAGTAGCGTTTCTTTGAAAAAATTATCAGCGGTAACTTTTAATACGGTAACCTGCGAAAAGTTTGGGGGTCACTCAGGAAAATCCTGCGATTTGGCACGTAGTTGTGAACATTCTTTTATAAATTCCAACTGTATACAATCATGAGGATTCCATTTCCACCGAATGCCTAGCCGCAATTCAAGCCTACCGTACGGTATGACATTACGCCTGCCACCCACAGACTGCCCTTTTCCATTTAAATGCCCTTTTTTCACCAACGCTTAACCCCCCCCCCCCAATATTTGTAAAGAGTGCCCTTTTTTTTAACTAGTGCCTTTTTTTCTAAACGGGTGCCCTTTTTACGAAAAAGTGCCCGTTTAAAAAAAAATGTACCTTTTTTGTGCCATCGGCCGTTACGGGTGCCTGAAAAGCACATGTTCATACTGTCAATAATCGTTGGTTTTGAGCAGCGCCCCCATCGACAGAGGGTACCAGCCCAGCACCCCCCCCCCCCCCCCCAACAAAAATTGATTTTACGGAGGCCAAGTGTCCCAAAAGAAAAAGGTGTCTACATTTCAGCTAGGATGTGCGTCCTTTGTAAGAAATGTTTACTCCGCCCCCCCCCCCCAACTGACCTTGCTACGCCCCTGCCACCTTATGAAACTGTAATATTACATCCAATACAAGTACACAGATAATCAGATAAACCGCAATCATTTCAAACAACAGTCGGCACGGCTTTTGTCTTTAATTTAAAAGAGTTTTCCAGGAAAGCAGCCCGACAAATCTTTCAAAACCGCCCACAGAAGGACACAAACTATCGTGACCAAAGAACTCAAAACCAAAGCTAATAGACGGAGACTATTACGCGCATTGCAACGCTAACTCGTTCTCCCGCGGGAATTTATCAATGCGGGAAAAGCCTTGCATACAAACGGGCAAGAGCTGGTCAAGTTCGTGGTCTGGTGCCAAGCTATAAGAAAGTGAACGACAGAAATCTATAATTTTAATTACCAGGATACAAGGGAGGTCGGTACTGCTGTAATTCGCGTATTGATGACCGTTTTATTACGTGTAGAAGGATTGCTCTCAAGGTCCGGGTGTAAGCCTTGTACGACTCAAACCGATCGAATACAAGTGTCTCGAATTCTTAGTTCTTGTCAGGATTGAGTGTGGGCGTACAGCGGAAACGCACAGGACATGTTACGGCGGGTCGATGCGTGCAATCATGAAATGTCGTCTGATGATGTCCGCTTTTATTCATCAGACTTAACCGTCTCATTCGCTCATCACTTAATCTTGTACCCGGCCCTGCGCCCCTTCTCTCTGACCAGGATGCCCCGCCCCTCCCCAAGACGGATTCAAATTCTCCACCCAGGAACGAGCCCAAAGTCTAAGAGCGCAGTGACCTGGGGCATGGATGCCTGGGTCCGGCAAGAGGGTTCCGATCTCTCACCCTAAACCTTTCCATTGAATAACTAAGGGAGGGGGCCGGGGCATAGAGGCGCCCCTGCCCCACGCAAGGCTCCCCCGTACCCAGTTTAGAATTTCAGGAAGGTAAAATAATATTTGTTATGATTTTATTATAAATCCCCATTGAGTGCCCCTTCCAGTGAGGCCCCTATAATATCCCCCTCACGGTAAGTTGGACCCCTACTACGCCATAGAGAATTCCTGAGAAAACTCTTCCAAATACAATTCAAGATGAGAATATATGGTTCACACTGAAACGTACGACCAAATACTAACCACCCCTCCATTCCCGCCTCACTTTCAATGTCTTTGCAACATGCCTAAGTAGCCAGCCGCATACGATCAGCCCGGATACCGGTATCGATTCTCGGAAAACTCGCTTCACTTAAGTTCCGCATTTTTCACTAATCGATCCAAGGACCCTTTACGTTGCGTGCTGTTTGGTATTAAGGACGGGTCAGCCTTTGCCTAATTAAGAAAGCGATCAATAAAAACCGATATGACAGGCCTCGACGAAACAGCTGATCCGAATAGAAATAAGAAAACACGAAGACGAAGAGCGACAGCTTTACTGAACTCGTGTATTTATTCTACAAAGCTGTTCAGACTTGCGTATGATTTTTATTTTTTCAAATAATGGAACCTGATAAGTTTTCGTACATGAAGCCCTTCACTTCTTCATAACTGAACTGAAGATTTAACACGATTTTTCAGGGTACAGGGGACATTTTAAAAATCAATTTCGTCTATTTCCAATTATAGCTGGATCGATGTTTATATACAAAAGCCGACTGCCTAAAAGCAATACAACATACTGCTTATAACAAGGAAAATGTAAGGTCCAAAGTCTTTGTTTTCTTTGTTTTCAAGGCACCTGTTATAATAAGGTAATTTGTGAAGTCCCAAGGACCTTGTTATAAAGGTGTCCGACAGTATTTACATGACCTCGGTGATTAGCTTTTATTTTAACTGAAATATATTTACAAACACTGGCCGTATACGCGTATCATACATAGGCCTACAGCTTCATTTTCTTTCACTGAGTTTCACTGCATATGATGATCTCAGAGATGAAAAGAAAACGTATTTCCATTCAATGTACACACGTTTTCTTATAAAAGTGCTTAAAAACTAGTACTACACATTTTCAAAGCGAATAAACAGCGAAATATTACACTAAAAACCCTGTCCCTAGTACTATAGTAGCCACATGTAATTTACTATCCGAACTGTTCATTTTGTTGCCGGTAAATATCAGTGAACCGACAATAACAGATCAAGAGATGGCGCTATTCTAAAACAAAAAGTAACTTCTCACCGGCGCCGCCGGGCGCGCGCTGTATCTAGCAGTCCGGCCTGTAATCAAATTAATTAATTTCTCATAAAATTGAAGCGCGCCCTCTATTGACGGTTTGTACAGAATTTGACAGACCAAAACTTGTCTTTTTTTTTTTTAGTGAAATAAAAGTAACATTTTCGACCACCCCTGGCCAGCCTCAGGCCCCCCCCCCCATATAAATGCTGTTCAGGTGACATTATCAAAAACAAACATGACAACCATTTTGCACTTAGTATAAATAACTGGCAAAAGTTTTGAGCATTTAAGAATGCCCAAAGGATTTTAAAATGCCAACAGAATTATTCCCACCCATTTACCTCCCCAAAAACACTTACAAATATATAATGCCGCAATGTTTGTTTTTATGATCTACTGTTTTACAATATACACTATTGCTATGTATTTAAGGGATTTAATACAATTAATTAGGTTCTTCTTTTAATACTGACATGCTTGACAGTAGCACACATAATTAAATGAAAAATATGTAACACATTTAATTTTTAAAATAAAATAAAAATATGGACATTTAAGAGTTTTGTTATTGGGAGTTAATCATATTCTAAAGCACATAACATATTAAAGCACACAGTCTTTTATTAAATTCCTATTAAAGAGGTACGATTTTTACAAAAGCTGTAACTGTCATTATATCGTCACTGTCATTGTGCCATTGTCTATGTCATTATCATCAGCTGCAATTAGGCAAATAAAAGGCAACACATGATTTTAATCTTTTCCTTAAGACGGAGTCAGGTTGGTGTAGCTGTACTTAATTTCCTCGCCTTCCACTGCTGTGACCCGGGTTCTCTTCCTGCCTGGGCACATATGTAGACTGGGTTTTCAGTCCCTGCCTGATTCCGTGGGTTTCCCCAGATATTCTTCTGGGATTTTCTTCCCATATTTAAATTTGTAATTGTTCACATAGTCTTCTCTTCACTTGGATTCCACTGGGTAGTCCACCCAATTCAGATAAGAATTCAATAAATAACAGAATTTAAATTGACTTTCAGTATCTAAACTTTGGGTTTTTTGCAAAAGTGATGTCATGCAGAGAACTAAAAAGATAACACAAAATAACCCTGTTGAGTGAACATAAAATGATTAAATTAGACTGAGCCATTAAGCTGCACTCGATGACATTTAGACCGATCACAGCTATGATTGTGGGACAGTGTCCGAGAGAAGATCCACAAATGCCTGCACTTGCGTAAGACCTTCCTGTCTAGAACAGCATGCTTCCAAGAGGCGCAAGGGTTACTGCCCAACACGGGCAGGGCTTCATGATTGGTCTATTAACGGACCTACCAGTATGTTATGATAAGATGCTCTATCTTAAGATGACTGATGACCGCTGCTCATCTCTCTCTGGATTGCAGACGACCCTCCATCTCTGTCTTCCAAGAACACATTGTCATCACCTTCCTCAGCGATGCTTGTCCCCTTGACTTCCATTGTGCTGAAATCCAGAGGATCGTTTTCTGGGGACGACGGGATGCCACTATCACCACTCTCAGAGCGGTCAAACATGGAGGTCTTCGGGTTTAGATGGACTGCAACTAAGATCGGTTCTAGACCGGTGGATGACTGCAATGCAGTCTTAAGCTTACTCACCTCAGACCCGTCTTGCTCCACTGATGTCCCACTGATGACAGCAATTCCTGGTGATGAGACAACTTGGTCATGGACTTTCTGGACTTTCTCGCTACTCTTACAGGACTGTGTATGGAAAATGAAGCGAAAAAAATAACTCAAAGCTTAAATCTTTGTATATTTATTCAAAACGAATCAAGGCCTACTGCATCGATCTGGACCGTAAATTCTGCCGATAATGATTATCTATACGAAGCCTGCCAATCGGGGAGTCAGTCAATCAGTCAGTCAGTAAGACTCGATCATCAGAGAGTTGGGGAGTTGGGGAGTTGGGGGGGGGGAGTTGGGGAGTTGGGGGGGGGGTCGGGGAGTTGGGGGGGGAGTTGGGGGGGGGAGTTGGGGGGGGGGGAGTCGGCGGGTCAGTTGGGGAGTCAGTCAGTCAGGTTGTCAGTTAGTCAGTGACTCATTAACTCAGTCGGTGATTCAGAAATTCAGTATGTGGGGAGGCCGCGTCAGTCAGTCAGTCGAGCAGAATGTCATGTATCGGGGAGTCAGTCAGTCGGGCGGGGAGTCGGGGGGGGGGAGTCAGTCGGGGAGTCGGTCAGTCGGGGAGTCAGTCAGTTGGGGAGTTAGTCAGTCCGTCGGGCAGTCTTGGGGGAGCCAGGGAGTCGGGGAGTCAGTCAGTCACTTCGTCAGTCAGTCAGTGACTTATTGTCACAACAGACTGGCCCTATGGATTCAGCAAAAATTGAACTCAAGTTTGAAATGAAGTTTACAAGTATCTCAATTAATCTCACTTGCCTTTTGCTTCGACAGGTCTTCTGAGGCCTCAGCAAAGATGTGACGATACTGCCACACACAGAGGCCAAAGATGCAAAGACCAAGTACGATAGCGATTGGAATGACAATAGCAAACAAGAGAATGCCATGAGCTGGAATGAAACAAAACATTGACAAAACTTCAATTCCTAGGGTTCTGAGTTCTTCCCATAATGTGGTGTAACACTCGGCAAAAGAAAGGCAGAATTTAAATTTGATTTTCAAAATACATTTTTCATTGCTATAACGAAAGAAGGAAATTGAACAAGTTTAATGGAGGAAATCAGTTCCTTGAAATTTCCTGCCACTGGGGACAACAAACCCATCAAGTAAGCTATGGGTTTACAGCCTCTTGCACCTAAGATCATGTACAAATTCCTCAGCTAAGGCTAGAAGTAACAAGTCTATGGAAGATGGCTGCACTGAGCCACTTCCATAGGAACATGTGTAATTGTAAGCCCTAGCCATAATTTGGATGTACGCTGACTCACTCGTCTTTCCTTCAACAGGCTCCGAGTCTGGTCCCACGCCTACCGCAGTGTAAGCTGCTATCCAAATGAGATAAGATGTCGATGGCCCCAGATCAGTCAGAGTTTCAGTAACTGCATCTGGTCGGCTCAGGTTCCACTGCAGAAGGTTATCTACCATACACAAAGAATTAAGAATGAAGAAAATTTAAATCACATTTTTAAAGAATATTAGCCAATTATGTCACCAAGCTGCAAGAAATTTGCATATTTGTTGCAAACACACCGAGGCTGCCAGCCACAACATCAGTAGTTAATGTTGCTGTTGACAGGTTTGTGCTTAGCACACAAAGTTGTTTGCCATAAATTATTGTTTAGCAGCTTTTGGAGAAGATTTGGGGTGTGCAGGCCAGTTAATAGGCAAATTGCCAATGCCGGCCAAATCACAATTGGAATGCCCTCAAATTCTCCTGTATTAGAGCATTTTGAGGGCCAGACTTGAAGGTTTGTTAAAAAAAATAGAAGGGTGCCGGAAGCCATGCACAGGATGCGAGCTTATATTTCTGTTAAATTCAGATGACATTGAGCTCTTTAATTGCCTTATTTTGCAGGAGAACGCAAGTATCATTTTTCAAAAAAGCTTTTGGCCACAGGACTACTTTTAGGGGTGACTTTTTTTTGGATGGACGTTTCTCCCAAATGTCATGGGATAACCCCACAAAAACTAAGAGTGAAAGATGATAATTATAAGCTTTAATCTGATGTGTGTCTCAAACACCTAGGAGAGTTGTGAGTAATTTCCCTTCTCTCTGACTGGGAGAGAAGGGTTGAACATAAGCGCATCGTCTTATGCATGGCACAAACTGAAAAAAAACAGTGTGCTTGCTGCCACCAAGATCGAGTCTCAAAAGTCTGCCATTAATTGGCAACAACCAATAGGACGTGGCTTCAGCGCTGCTTCCACAGGCCATATGTGTGTCTGCAGCCTCGGACTTCACTAACCAAAAGGGATGTACACAGCTCTCCTACCTGAACAGTACTTTGTTTTCTCATTATCAAGGCTCCTCTTGCAGAATGAGATCCCATATCCACGAAGGACACCATTGATGTTTTCAGCAGGCGGCCGTTGCCATGACAACATCAATCTATCAGGATAGTTCTTGACAGGCTTGACTTCAACGCTGGTAGGTGGCGCATCTGGAACTGTTAACCGATGTCAAATAGGCTGTTACTAAATGCAGACGGTCACAAACTGTATCATCTGTTCATTTGGTATTTTTTAAATAATAGTCCTGCGAAACTATTTAAAATTTCAATATAGCATTGAAACAGAGGGATATTTCCTAGACGTACCTCCCTCCAATGTGCGTGCCCCGCCCCTTACAGATGTGACTTCACTCTCTCCGCGAGAGTTCACGACCTTAATGCCGACCTCATAAAGAACATAGGTCACCAGATCATTGATGACATAAGAAAGCTGGCTTGAATCTGAGGTGGTGTAATATTTTCTGCAAAATGAAGAAATCAGTTGTGAGCTAAAACACAAAGTCTGGTTGTTTCCTCAAAATATCTTTAAGAAAATAAACATATCTTGGTGTTTTCTCCAAAGCTTTATCCAGGCTTCCTGTTTCTCCAATCGCATCGCAATGCTCATGTTCATCTTTACACAATGCAAGCCTCAGCGAAAAAAAAAATTCTCGCATGACTTTCTTAAAAGTGACTAGAATATTTAATACCAAGTCCAAGTTTCAGGAATGTACATACATTTCACCATTACTCCTCCCCCATTGCACAGTGTAGTTCTCTATGTAGCCATTAGGTTGACTTGGCTCCTCCCACTCAACAAAGATGGAGGTCGTTGTCAAGGCAACAGCTCTGACCTCATCAGGAGCGCCCGGTGCTAAAAAAAATATTTCATCACTGTTACCTCATATGCCTACAAAACAAATGTGATGCGATCAAGCTAAATCAGCCGTTTGTTGACTCCGGTCAAAAACAAACTTATTACAGATTTGAAAAGAGCACAATCTCAGCATTACTGATGTGAACACCTCATGCTGATGATACCATCTTTAGTTCAAAAATTATGGAAGTTGGAACACCAAGAGATGTGATGAAGTGATGTGATGAAGTGGCCCTATTTTGGCCTGTATCTCCAAATGAAAATTCTCGATAAACGACTCATGTAGCTTGATCACATCACAAATAGAGTTTACAACATAAAAATGCTGCATCTATTTATTATTCCCAGAGACTCAGCAATTAGTTCAAATATTGTTTTCTCTATTGTCTAGCTTTATTTGGGGGAAATATGTAACAAGTTTAATTTAAAGCAGGTCATTTACTGTTCCATAGAAGTTTAAAAGACCTCAAAGTAAGGAATTTTAATTTACAACCACCTACTGCATCAAGCATGTGTTGACAAGAGTAAGAAGACGGTAAAGTGTGATAAAGTGCCTTGCCCAAGGACATGCCACATCACATAAGTTTGAAGGGAAGGATTTTTAAAATTTGGTGTGAAAGACCTACCTCTTGTTTGATCTTCAATCAAAATTGACGACCAAGGGCCAATGCCGGCGCTGTTACGGGCAGCAACTTTGACAAGATAGCCTCTGAACTTGTCAAGGGGACCTGCAAAAGTTATTGTCATGCATGAAAGAAATTGTCAAGTCCTACCTCTCAGACTGCAAGGCTTAACACAAGAAGAAAAACACTCACCAGTAATCGTAAAGAAGCTTCGGCTGGTGTTATGTTCTCGTCGTAATTCTTCTGTATCATCTGCCTGGATGACTACCCTATAGCCCAAGAGGCGCCCATGTTGGCCTTCTTCTGGCAATTTCTGAAAACAGAAAATATAACCAAAATGAAGAGGATGTATTTCTGGAAGAAGTATATATGATACTGTGCCTGTGACATCATTCAGAAGACATGACTTGTTGACATTGTTGTAGTCAAGTTAATCACAAGTCCATCACTTGTAAGGAGCCGGATGGGAATTTCCCCGTGTTTTCTCCCAAAAGGGTTTTCGCGGGGTTTTCGCCCCTCCCGTAATCAGCGAATATAGATACAGCAATAATTTTTTTTTCTTTTCTTGATGTTACAAGATAGATCCAAATTTTTCGTGTTCACTGAATCAACTTTATAGTAAAGCATTCATACTGCACATGTAGTTATAATAGTTTTAAAATATATTGTATTTATAATATTTGCTTAACACCTATGCATTATTCAAATAATGTTTTATCTCACTGTATTGAATTTTATTGTATTTGTAATGTATTGTATAATTATACATGTTTGTAGTCATTATTTATTGTATGCAGGGCCCCAATAGAAACCAGTTTTAAACTGTTTGGGCATACCCTGGGTAAAGAAATGGAATAAATAAATAAATAAATCACAAGTCCATCACAAGTCCATCACAAGTTCATCACAAGTCCTTCACAAGTCCTTCAGTCTCAAGTCAAGTCACTAGCTATTCATCAAATGAACTGTTACAGAAACATTCCTGTGTCATTAGTCACCCCTTTCTAGCGACCGGACTTGTGAAAGGACTTGTGATGGACTTGACTACGTCACTGCTCTTTGCAAGACTGACTGTCACATGTTTTTACTTCACAGAGCCTACAAGGTTGTCTTGATTGTTACCAAGATAAAAGAGCAAATCCCAAGTCACTTATTGATTGACATTTGAAAAGTATAAAACCTTCATTAAATGACTGCTCAATGTAAGTGCAAGTTACGATATCAAGGCATCTCATCATCAAGCATGGCGATTGACTTACCGTCCAAAATATACGGACATTCCTCTTGTAGACTGGGTCAGCTTTGTTTGGGGTTTCATTAATTTCGAGGCCTTGTACAACTTCTAGAGGTGCTGGATTGATTACACAAAGATGAAAAGCAAAGCTTTATTAGGGAAGACTACAAAGGAGGAGTCAACCTTCTCATTAGGCCATAGTGTCTGGTCTAGTGGTCCACATCAGCCTAACGAGGTTACAAAAGCCGAATGTATCATAATGTAGAGCAATTGAGCCACACATTTTGAAGATATTTGAACACTACCAATATAAAGTGAGCATGCTTTAAGGTAACATTTACTTTTGCTGTAATTTTCAGAAATGGACAGGTTTGGGAGTTAGAGTATTTTATAGCAAACTTGCATACAATATACAATAGCTGACCTGTTAAAAAGTTTGTGATAAAATGTGATGCGATCAAGCTAAATGAGTCGTTTGTCGGGAATTTTCATTTGGAGATTCAGGCCAAAATAGGGCCACTTCATCACATCACTTCATCACATTTCTTGGCGTTCCAACTTCCATAATTTTTGAACTAAATATGGTATCAGCATGTGGTTTTCACAGCAGTAATGCTGAGATTGTGCTCTTTTCAAATCTGTAATAAAAATGTTTTTGACCAGGGTCGACAAATGACTCATGTAGCTTGATTGCATCACAAATGCTGTACTTGTAGCCTGGTTTCCTGGCCTTACTTCAGACAAAAGGGGGCAATTTATAGACATCAGGGAATGTTCAGGTCAAGGAACCATACTAGCTAGGGCTGTACCAGGCCATTCCCAGGTGAACAAACTAAATGTGGTATGTTAAGGGGGCAGTATTTTAAAAACGTTAGTTTTCTTCCCAAGGATGGTCAGCCCACCATAATTGGAAATTGATACCAAATATTCCACTGTTCTTGGAAATGCCAGCACACTAGGGTGCCATGATTTCACAGGATGCTTGAAACTATTGTTATCATACACTTATGGTCAAGTAAGTTATTTCAAACTATGGTAGTTTTGGTTTTTGATGTTTGCAAATGTTGTATATATAGTTATCATTAAGTTATGTCACATTAAAACAGCAATCTGTTGACAAAAAGTCCTCAATGTTGCTCTTTGCTTGACTTTGGTACTCACTTGTCTCACGTGTGATTGTGGTTTCAACCTCAGTCCACTCACTCCAATTCTCTTCCCTTGATTGGTCAAATCTGGCTGCGACTTGAACATCGTAGAAAGTATATAGGTCTAGTTCCCTCAATGTAAAGGATTTAGACCTCACATCTTGAGTCTGTTGATGGTTTGAAGAATGCATTATGTGTTAATACCACCATTCTCTTGATTAAATTGGATGCACACTTACAATTTTGTGAATCATCAGGAGTAAAATTTCATATGGGTTGCGAAAATTCCTATTGCAGCGACAGCATTGTGAATAATAACTGTCATCAGGACATTTTTTTCAGAACTGTTACCACAGTTACTCTGATGATCAATGCATTACTTTCCCCCACTTCTTAAGAGAATTATCTGAGTTTTACCTCTAACCAACAGCAGCATGTGTGATTAGCCATCACACATTCCTCCTTCTTGTACCTCAGTTTGTAAGTCAGAGATCCTTCTCTTGTCGACGGCCACTCATCAGGAACAGACCATGTTACTCTCAGCGATGTCTCAGTCTCCATCTTAGTGACTGCAACATTGCTTGGACTATTTACAACGACTAAAAAAAAAAGTAAAAAAGAAGAGATACTCAACGTAACCATGAAATTCTCAGTCAAATGCACCAATCTAGTTGTGCAGAGCGACAATATATGGGTAAAGTGCCCTGCCTAAGAACACAAAGCACGATGACAAAATTGATTGTGCAGGCCTAGATGTGTCCTATCTACATTCTTTTTCAAAATCTAAATGCGAAACTAAAACTCTAGCTTTTTTTATACCATCGTTGTAAGTATGGAAGACTTTCTCGGTTGTAGCGTTCCCCAGACGGTTGGTTGAGGTGACTCGAACGTGTTGAATGAGGCCAGCGCCAAGTTGTAGATTACAAGTGTTGCGCCCTGGTGATGGACAGTCTTCCCAGCTACCACCAAGTCTGAAATGAAACCACCAAAATGGCTGATAAACCCAGGCCTCAAAACTTCATCCTATATAGTAAACCTAATCTAGCAGTTTGAATCTCTTGTCTCTCAATTGGTCTCTGACAGTAGCAGTACATGGGAATATGCTGATGATATTTTTCTGATATTCATTAACAATGTAAGCACATTATAGTTCATGCATTTTCTATAAAAGGCATCACAGATTTAACTTCTATCTGGTATGTGACTTACTTGAACATAAAATTGTGCTGGGTTTGAATCTGTGTGTACGTCCCGTCTTCCCAGCTACACCGATATGCATCAGGAGACGGTATGACGCAGGTTAGAATAGGTGGCTCGGGCTTCCCTTGGGCAAAATAACAATCAAAACAAAACATTTTTAAACCAATTAAACACTCCAAACCATCTTCTAACCCGGAGAATATATCATGTGACCTTATGAGATTATCATGTCACCTTTCTGTCAGCTTAGGGTAGTCTATGGGTTTTCCCCGTGAAAATCATCCGAGTTTTCCTGCCAAGGAATCCTTGGTTTCATTGCCAAAAATAACATAACAGTACAATGTACAGCGGCAAATTCTTGTCAAGATTCCAGAGAGGGGCATGACCAATTGTCGGAATACATCAAAGTGCATTTTAAGTAATTTTTCCTCATTAATGGAAGATTTAGGCCTATGTAAATATTTGAAAAAGCAAATTATTTAGAAAGTTAGAGAAAGTGGTTAGGTGACTTACTTCCAACTGACACCTCCGAGGCATCACAGCGTTTGCGCCGCCCTAAGTGACAGTAGTACATCCCCCAGTCACTGAAGGTGACATTTGTCAGTGTCAATTGAGACACTGTGTCACTGAGACTGGTGTACCTGTCTGGTGGCAACTTGTCGCGATTGTGTTCCCAGATGACATCTTGAGATGTACGACCGTCATTGGACGAGTCATCAATGGTACAATTCAGGACCAGGTCTGAACCAACTTCAATGATGGGATCAACTGGTAACAAACAACCTGTTTAAAAAGGACAATTTGTATTGAAGCATAATATCCCAGTTAAGATGATTCAGATGTAACTTTAAAGGAAACTGTCCCAAACAATGTTATTTTGGAAATCAGCCAACCAAAATATCTGCAAAATGATCAAACAATGAGCTGGCCCATCAACTGGTCAACTACCCAATCAGTTGACAATCAACTGGCAATTACATGTAATTTGACAAATGGTCACCCAACTGGTCAACTGTCAGGACAAAGAACTGGACAGCCATCCTGACAAACAAACAATCAAGCAGCTAACCGATTAACAAACAAACTGATTATTCATCTGGCAATCAAGCAGTATAAACTTGAGATTCTCATGGCCTGTTCCAAAACCTTTTTTTTGGCAGGGGGGCCAACATTTGTTTTTTGTTGCAAAAAAGGTGGGTCCAAACAATTTCCGCCCAAAATTTAACATGAAAAGCAAAGGGGGTGCAAATGTATTGCTTTTGTTGAGTTTTGTGGGTGGTGTACGCAATAGCTGCTTTTTTGCGATGCCCCCCCCCCCCCACCTGGATCCACCCTTGTTGACACTTACCTTCAAGATAGCCTATCAAGAAAACAACCAACGTCAACAGGACACAGTTAGTACCAGCCATGTTGTCCACAGAAATGCTGATTTGTTGTCACAATCCTGCAAAACGAAAACAGGTTTCTTGCATTTTTATTTTTGTTCCTATATAACCCCTAATCACGAGCCCCAAAAGATGTTAAAAACATACAAGTTGGAACAGTAAGTCTTTCAAACTACATGTAGTATATAAACAGAACTTTGGACTAGTTACAAGCAAAAACACTGCCAGCACATCTGATGTCTCCAAAATAAATAAACAAAACACTGCTCTTTATTTTTTTTGTCAGCCTGACTCACCAGTACTTTAACTCGATCCCCAGTCACCAGCAAACTGACTATCAATACACCAACTTCCTTTTAAAATAATGATTATGATTTCCTTTCCCGAGATAATATTTCAAAACTTCCCCGCACTTCCATTGTGCACATAAAGCAACCTTCCTTTCACTTTTGACGAAAGAAGGAAGTGGAATATTTTGAGGTCACAAAACTGTTGCTAGCCACACCAGAGACCCAGATTGTTTTTGCAGCACCTGGATAATGTAACAGAAGATTTAAAAAGAACTCAAAATCAAACTTCTTATGTTTGCAAAAACCTCGGAAAACACACATTCAATTTAAGAGTATTAAAGCTCTGTGTGAGAACTCCGGATATAAGCTTAAATCACAGTACTTTCACCCACTAGAATGAACAGTCTTAAAATAATATACATTATGGTGTTTTCTTTTATGGCCTCATCCTGTTCCTGTCCTGCTGATGATTTCCTTGAAAAAAAATTGTTTTTAGAAAAAAAACAACAGGAAGATACTTTGTTATAGGCTACCCTGGGGATATAAGAACACCTTTGTTTGAGACATCAATGGGCTGAAAGAAAGACTGAACAGTTTAATATTTGTGGAAACTTGGCTTCTGAAGAGGACATTTTTGTCTGCCCCCCCCCCCCCCCCCAGTGCGCTTGGTCTGAAGATGTGTGGGGGTAGTACATGGGGCTTATTGATAGGAGGGCGTGCCAAAAAAAACACCACAGTTGTTGAGTTACATGTAGCTCCATGCATGTACACAGTAAGGTTTATCTTGAAACTAAACATCGGGGTAATAAAATCTCCTTCAGTGATTTGTCAAAGTTCTCCTCATTCTTGCAAGCAGCTTAAAAAGCAGCACACTATTTCACTTTCAGGTCAACAATGCTTTTGAGGTTGTTGATTATATAGTGACGCATTCATAAACTCAATCAAATTTACAGTTTCACTTTCTTCGAGGTATAATGCACTTAAATTTCTATTTGCCATAATTTCAGAATTGAAAATGGATAAACAACCTGTTCCACAGGCCATAAAATGTGCACTGATTTCTTGATACAATGTAACTGAAAGTATTGAAAAGACTGAAAAAAAAGAAGAGAACAATGGTTTTGATAATAAGTTGTTTCACACCTGCTTGCCCACACGCAAAGGGGCTGATGATGAAACTTCACCATATTGACCAGAAGGCTTGCTGCACTTAACTTACTCAGGTAAGAGATAGTGTTCTTCATTTTATTCATTAAATTACCACTGAGAGTTTCATACTTTATTTTTCAAACGAACATACTTTCTTTGAACGTAACGTCCCATAAAACACACAATAGATCTGCAAAATGAAAAATACTCTAAATTTAACATAAAATGTACCCTTGACAGTCACACAACAACAATGGGAAAAGGTTACATGTAGGCCTATACCTTTCAAAGCACTTTTGACATCTTACTGACCAGAATAAGAGGGTTCACCAATGGCTGAACTTGAACTGGTTGATTTAACCCCAAAAAACGTCTGTTTCCTATTTCCTGGGGCAAAAATGAAAACAAAATGAAATCCAGATCTCAAAAAGGTAAACAGTCATCCAACGACATCCTCCATGCCACCCACCTACACCTCATTTTTCAACCCTCCATCTGCTCTGATACATTTATCACCAATCAAAGGTCATCAGTTTTTCACATCAATTCAATCAAACTTTCTTATCTCTCCAAACCAGGCATCTCTCCCGCAAACTTTAAGAAATACCGCATGGTTTTGTTTATACAATTTTTTGTTGGCACTCTGCCAAAAGTTCATTCTGTTCCAAGGGTTGGGATGTGGCTTGGCTTGCGGTGATGGACTCTGCGTGAGTTGTGTGTTGTTACAGTTTCAGTCTCAGACTATCGCGTGCCACTTAATGGTTTGAGTCATGTCGCGTGAGGCACACGCCACCAGCAGACTATCAAACTTTATCAACGTGTATCATACATGATTGCTCCAAGAAGACAAACCACTTGAAATTATAGAAGATAATAGTGTTTTAAAGTTTACTCAACAAAAGAAATCACATCAAAAGTGAATCCAAACAATAGCACCATTCACTGCAAAAGAAAATAACTGCAGTTTTATACAGAATTGACTATTTTTTGTCACATACTAAGAAATTGAACATGGTTTATATACTTGTATTATACTCAGACTCAATGACAAAAACACAGGGATTACTCACAGGTATGAATTTATGCCACAGTCATGTGAAACTTTTTTAATTCATTTCATTTCCAATTATTCCATGATGATTGGGCAAACCGGTCACACATGGGGCGTACACACTTCCATGATTTTGAACACTACTGAGTGATCAAAATACAACCACTGGCACCACAGAGTGCACAGACCCAAGACTTAGCTGGGTACAGAGCCGAAGCTACAATACAAGGTACAAAACACAGACCCAAAACTTTAGATGGGTACAGAGCCGGAGCTACAAGGTACATGCATGTACATGTAAACCAAAACAAGTGGTTATAGGCCATATCTATGTCCATCATTAAGACGTAAACATTAAAAAGTTGCATATCTAGCCCCCATGAGACTAGCGAGCGCTATTGATAAAATGAATTACATTTCTTTATTTGTGTTGAGCAATATGCAGGGGCGGATCCAGGAATTTTCGCAGGGGGGGGGGGGTTTCATCAGCAAAAAATTATGAAAATGTATGAGGTTTGACTTATTTTTTAGGAATTTGTATGATAATTTTTTTTTTACAGAGCTGGGGGGGGGGGGTGGTTTCACACCCAAAATCCCCCCTCTGGATCCGCGCCCGAAATGCATAATATTGATTCAAACATGGGTGTGATGAGGGATTGGGGTCGACCCCCTTCAGGCCACCCCCACCCGTACCACCCCCCCCCCCACCCCCCCCCCCCCCCCCCAAAAAAATTGAGGGGGTTATAATTATTACTTAAGGGAAATTAGGAAAAAAAGACAAGAGGCCCAAAGCAGTAACACAGAAATTGCCAAAAAGGCACCACTTAAGAACACCGCAGCTCCTGTTGTAAAATTTAATACCATTCCCCACCCAAAGATCAGTTAAGCTGAGGCATGGACGATATCTTTCCTCATGGAGTTTGAACAGTCCGCCAAGCCCACACAGGATACAGACCAATTAGCGACCCTGGCTGACCAGCAAAGGCATGGAGGCCTCCCGCTGCGGCCCGGCCCACTGACCGACAGATTTACGACCGCGATATTAAGATCCCTTGTGCCGTGGAGGAATAAGAACCTTAAAAGTAGTAAGAACCATGCACGGGGTTTGGTGTGCTTGTATTCCTGTAAAAATAGCTCCATGATCCATGGGTGCAAAATAATGTCCTGTTACTACTAATACTACTGTAGTGTCATGACACAGTGTTAGTTCCTTACTCTATGGTTTTACTACAACGTGCGTGTATAAACGCCGCCAGTATTGGCCGCCTTACCTATAAAAACTTTCTCTTCGCTTCATACTTGTTGCTTGTGGACGACGTCATGTTTGGATGAGGACGTTCATGGTCCAACCACGGAGGCAGAAATGGTCCACCTTGCTCTATGATGGTCCAACGCACCAGATCGAAGTCTTCATCATCTTCAACCCTGGAAACAGCGGCCATAAACTCTCAGTTAATAAAGGAGCTGCGCGTGGCCCGCGCGCACCATCAATCAAGATAAAACAAACACGTGCCAAGTTTTGACGTGTCTAAAAATAGCGCGCCGGAAAACCCCTTTCAAGTTTTGTCAGCACGCGGCGTGCATTGGCAATGCAGATTGTTGCAGAGAGATGTTGGTAAAACTTCGTGGTTATGTTTTCCAGTTGTTTGTCACTTGCACCTCCTAAAACCAGGTATGTTCATACTCATAGTGGTCATTTCCAAAGCAACTAGTGAGTGTACGTCTTTTTGATTTGATTTACTTGTTGCTTGAAGAATGTAGCTCTTCTACGATGTTCGGTGAGTGAAGTTTAGTTTAGCTCCACCATGGAGGAATATTCCTCCATGGCTCCACATAATGGCGACGGTGTTTCTGCGCCGTACGGACCATACCTTCGCCACACGAGTCGTGGGCAAGGCTAGGGAAGACCCGTACCCATACAAATATACTGGCAATGAGGTCACTAGTGCACATATCTATGCGCCATAGGTGACCAGAAGAGGGTCCTATTTTCCGAGGCCGGTCCAGTCCATTATGTGTTTTTATAACACCTATGTCCGAAATATAAAATAAGACAAGAAACTTTGCACTTTTCTGGGTTTTGAATTAACAATTAACTCATAAGCAATTCAACCATTAAGTATGCAATTAAACAATTAAAGTAACGCTTTTAGTTGCCCTTGATTCAGATTTTGAGTTCGACTGTGAGTCTTTGAGAGGGTGCTGTATCCAGTCCAAACGTCTTGAGTATAATGCCTGATCAGGCACTATACTCAAGAAATAAAACGCACAAAATGTCTTTACACGCGCCTAGTCCACGCTGATGAAAATTTCATGAACAAGCAGGGGCTTTCCAGGAATTTTTGCTAGTAGAGGTTTTTCATCAGCAAATCAATGCTAAAAATGTGGTCAGTTTTTTTTGTCCGGACACTTGGCTCCGTAAAATCAATAGGTGGGGGGGGGGGGGGGGGGGGGGGGGCTGTTCAAATTCGACGATTACACTTTATTACAGCCCTGTATCCACACCTGTATCCGCACCTGACTAGCCTGAACAGCTTCTTGTCCCCACCTGCTTTCTATTTTCCGGCTGTTTCCTTTTCTCTTGTTTTTTATTCATGATACATTTGCGATATATTTTGCACATACATCTATTGTATTTGTTTCCAACAAATGTGTGCTATGTGGAAAGGGTTACAGCACCTTTGGACACAATTTTGTATCAGCAACAGGTCGAGAAAATGGAAAAATCCATCTGCCATCTTGAGAAAGTTGAAAAAAAAAGAAAAAAAACACTTCCATTTTTTTAAAAGGCTGGATGAGATGAATTTTTTTTTTTTCTTCATCAACTCGGCCTAATAAATGATAGTTTAATTGCCAGGGAATCAAAGATGCTAGCAAACTAATGTTTACTAAAAGAAAACCAGTGAAAGACATTATACATGTATAACCGACATATATCCTTGTCATTTGATTGGTGGAACTCACATTACATGACATTCGTTATTACTCCCATTCATGCCGGGTCTCAAAAAGTACTATCTGCCCATGGGGAATGGGAAATACTATTGAACAGTTAGGATCAGTCTTGTTCCAAGACACGGTATTTGTGTGCAAAGGCATGCTGGTGTGCCTTTAGCGTTACAAAGAGCCAGCGCTACAGAGTGGGGTTAAAACATTTTTGTGAAGGGGTGGTTTGGAAGAGAGAAATACATTTCCCATCAATTTTGTAGTGAAATAAAAGTTCAAATATATCAAATGACAAGGATCTATGTCAGTTATATAAACCTTGCGATAATATTCCTCCCATTTCACTCTGAGCCACTCAATATTTGCATAATATCCACTGCCTAACTTTTATTGACTCCTTCAATTTGGTCAAACTCTGATAGTGTGCTTGAGTTTGTAAGTTTTAATTTTGTTCAGAACTTGTTATAGACTGCACGTTCATGTAGGCAGGTCTATAAATGGTACAACACAGACAACCAGTGGTTCAACTTATTTGTGCCCGGCCCGTTGCATCTGTCAACAATGAGACTCGATAAGATCAATAACGTCTATTCAGCCTCAAGGGCAAAGTGTAAATTCTGCATTCATGTTCATGCACATTGATCTGTAGTTCTGTACACTCCAACAGCAAAGCGCAAAATCATGGAGTTCAGTGGCCAAAAACATCCATGCTGTGTGCACAAATACAAAACACTTGTAAACGCTTTAAAGTGAAGTCGTGAACAGGGTGCTGGCACACCCACCATGTAGTGAGCCTGAGTGCACGAACTCAGAATTGCACCTGAAATTAACTCAGTGTTTTTAAATAAATTAATCTTAGTTATCAAAGTCTCCACAGTTTATAAGCTGTAGAGGCTGTTCATCATCTGATGAAATTAAGCTGAATGCTTGTAGCTTTACGGTAAGTACAAGTGTTTGTTAAGCTGATTTTTTTAAAAAGCAAAATCAAGTTTGTTGTAAGGCAAACTGTTATATTTATTGCCTGCTCACCCTTTACACTCTCAGGTGAACTGTGAACTATTAAGTTTTATGGCACAGAAATTAACAGCTTTTTTTTATTGTGTAGAGGTACCACAACTCATTGCCATCTGAGGGAGCACACTTTTGTTTTTTATATCTTTTTCTCATGTTCAGCAATAAGGGCCGATTGGATTAGATAAAAGTGGAATGAAATCCAGTCTTAGCAATATTGGCAGAGCTACCCAGGAAATTACCAGCATTCCTCAAGAGCGCTGTATTCAAGGTAGTGCACTACTTGGAATTTCCCAGGTAGCGCTGCCAATATTGCTAAGACTGGATTTGATTCATCATGTTGATAGAGACCTCCACGGCTGACAACTTATAAATAACTGCATTTGTCACGGGACTGACTGCGAAATACCGGGTAGGGTGATAAAAACCCAGACTTGGACCAGGACTAGTCACACAGCCCCACGTAAATGGTATATGATCGACTGCTCGTAAATTTATGCCTTGCAGCAACTTGAACTTTGAAGGTTTTAGCAATGTGTGTAAACACAACTGGAAACCTTAGGAACTTAGTAGGAGGGCCAGGCCTAAGGGCAGAGAGATTCCTGGTCGGAGGAGATAAGAACCTCAGATTGCATGGATGTTACAATCACATGACTTGAACATTCATGGCTTGAGAAATCACAGCAAGATCTCAGATCCATTGGTCGCTCTGTGTCAAACTTAAACTTTAATTCATGAAAGATTTAATGTACTAACAAGGAACCAAAAACAAATGTAGACCTGTGCAAGATAACACTCTAACAATTCTTCTCCAAATTAGGTAAAAGTGTGCCAGAGTATGCAAATAGGAGTATGCAAATGACGGACACTTTCAACCAATAGGGAACCTCCTTTGATTTTTTTCTAGGTGAATCAAAGTTTGAGCTTGTTTTCTCTTTGCCACACAGTCATTGACTGGATGCATTGTACAAGAAAGTTAAGCCCCAATTTCTCCAGTGAAATCAATCGCAAGAGGGCCAGGGACTACTGTTACCATGGTAACACTTAGTCCCATTAAGTGGAAATACTCCTAACAAAGAACAGTTTGGCCTTGTCCATATACGGTAGCAACCACCCTCACAAAGTAAATTACACATCAAGTGAAACCAAAAGTCAAAAAATAGTTTACATGTTTCCTGAACCCTTTGTCGAATTTGAATGCACAGTAACTAATGCGTCACTTTCGCATTTCCCCTGCATACTTCAAATTAAACTAATTGTATATTTTTGTAATGAAAATGAGAGAGGAGTGTTTAACACAGATGTCAATATTAGTAATTATTTGTGTGAAATGGTTAACATTTGTGGTAACAGTTATTTGTCAGCAGTAGTTAGTCCAACTTTTCGGTTCACTGTTTTACTTTGTGAAATTTTAACCTGCTAGATTGACTACTTGAAAATGTAGTTAAAATGAGCGTAGTTATGCATCAAAATGGCCAATGAAACTGGTAGGAAGAGTACTTGAATTTCAGATGGGATAAGATTTTGTTGGTTTCTCTCTTCCACATAAAAACTAAGCCTTGCATGCTTTGTTCAGCAAGGGTATTTTTATAAAATTGTATTGGTATATTGTTATTAAGTAGGACTAGGAAGACAAGCTTCAGCAAAGTAATCAATCCTTATCCTAAGATCATAAAGAAACTTCCGCTAGTTGTTGTGCCGCCATTTTTTTCAAAGGAAACCGTTTTCGCAAAATCGTTTTCTACCGGAACTTCTGACAAGGTCACTTAAGTCTTTCACAAAAGTGTGAAGTGATTTGACCGCGTGTATGCTTTTCTACATGAACTTGTCAGTTAGTGTACTTTTTTTTTGTAAATTTCAAGGAACATCAAGTGTCCTCATTTTGGCAGAGAGCCAGCACCTAAACTTCTAATAACCATTTTTTGCAGAATTCTGCCAGAAATCTGCCAAAAAACTCAAATCTGTCAAATTTTCTGTCAAACTCGTTTTATAACAAAAAATTAGCCGAAAATCAGCTAAAACGGTCACTATGTTTACAGTTTATACAATAGATTCAGGGAACATGATCTCAAACTTGCTTCCCTTAAGTCTATTGAACGTTCTGATCTGACACAGGAAACTTTGTGACTGGATTTTGTTGGCAACATGCCAAGTCCAGGTGTTAACAATCTGATTGCTTTGAAATACTTCCACAGTACATTTCCGATTGCGATAAAGATATCCTTCATTGTTAAAAGCTAAGGTCTTGACAAACAGATCAGAAAAAGAAAATTCACATGGCACATCCAAACCTAAACATTGCATAAAAAAACAAAACTTTCTCCTGATAACCTCTGATTCATTGTTTTTTAGGGGGGGGTGTTCAAATTGTAACATATTTCATAATAAAGTCTTGATTTATTTCAAACATGATGTGCTTTATCATAAAAGTTTATCAAACAGACTCATACACGTCTCTAATTTCCTTTGTCTAAAGATACAAACAGTGTTCCAAAATCTTTTTACAAATAAACATTGAATTATTGATATTAAAAAACTCATGGGAAAAATAATACCAAGGGAAATCAGGAAACTTGCATTCATATAGGCCCTAATGGTTCATTCTTTGAATCAGTCTGTTTCTAACGAAATTATTAATTGAAACATATCCCAATTATATATTCCAAGATTTTGTGTTATTTGGTTTTTGTTTTCGCAAATTATGTCATTCAAATCTCACATGTTCAGTGTTTTTTCTCAGCAGGAAGCCAGAATTTCTGATTAAAAGTATATCCTCATAACCAAAGAAAGAAAATCGAACAGTCTTTCCCGTTCAGTTCTTGATAGTTTATGTAAAAGTGAAAACCATTAACTTTAATGACGTGTATCCTGGTTGCAATGATTATTGAGGTTTTCCTTTTGTTCTTGTGCCCTATA